CCCACAAACCCCTAATCCAATAGTTTCTGAAGTGTTTCCAACCACATACCCTTAGTATAAGGGAATCTCATCTTGAATTCTTTATTCTAGGTTTGTTTTCTGTAGTAGTAGGGGTATAGAAATTCTGAAAATTACAGGAACAAGAAAAACATACAAACCAAAACACACACACACACAAAAGAACATTAAAAATGTTGCGAGCCAGGGTTCTCACTGAGGTAGATGGGAAATACAAATTTAGAATTAGGAAAGGAAAGAACTCTGTGGTACTGGAAAGAAATTGGAAATACCAGTATAAATTATGATTTCTAAATATTTATACATTCTTCTCAGTTATGTTCTTTGGAAGGGCCAAGAAGCAATAACACTCCAATAGCAATGAGCACATCAAGCACCCAGATCTTAGTTTCAAAATACCATTTCCCACTGAAAATGAACCGGGACTCCTGAGAGCAACTGCTGGCTCTAGAATTGGGAAGGGAAAGTATAAGTCTAAAATAACTTGTGACAGAAAGGAAGGAAGTACTCCCACTCAACAAATCTGGGACAATTTGAACACCAAAATAAATATGTTCTATAATGGGTCATGACACTATAAAATAAGAATCTATGGGTCCAAACTATTAATAAAGGACATATACAGGAGTAAAGTGAGGGCTGTTTTTAGAATGCTGACTGTGAAAATAGAGGTAGTGATAGAACTGGGGAGAAAAATCACAATTTTTCAACTTTCAGAGTAAAGACTGCTTCAGGCAAAAATCACCAATAGATGCCAAATCTAGAGATGAAGTCTGAGGAGGATCTGGATATGTCCATGATCTCGAAGTGTCTCTCCAATAATTTGTACTATTAGTTGCAAAGTGAAAAATATTAACTACATGCTGGAGAAGCCAGACCATAACTGGACCAGATGATCAAAATAAATATCACTAATAATGGACAGATGGACACTGTATGTGTCCAGATGTGATACCTTGAGGAGAACACACTTCTATAATAATCCAGTCAGAAACGCATCACCTGAATCTTACCGTAACAACCCATCAGAAATCCAAAAAAAAAGAACATTTCATAAAATAACTAGCTGGTACTCTTAAAAAATGACAATGTCATAAAAGATAAAGGCTGAGGAGCTGTTACAAATTAAAGGATTCTGAGAGACATGACAACTAAATGCAATAAATGATCCTTAACTAAATCCTGGACTGAGAAAAACAAGTATGATAAAAGACATTACCAGAACAGCTGACAAAATTAGAATATGGATTATGGATAAAAGCACTGTATCACTGTTAAATTTCATATATTTGATAAATATGCCATGGTTACAGAAATACACACTGACATATTACTGTATAAAGGGACAAGATATATACAACCTCAATATATCCTCAAATAGTTCCCCCCCAATAAATAATATGCAAGAGAAAGAAATTCCATAAAATGTTAAGTTCTCTATACTGTCTTTGCAACTTTCCTGTAAGTCTGAAATTATTTTAAGTCAATTAGTTTTAGAACATATCTAATAAAACAGACGATAAACCAAAATAGATAACACCAGTTTAAATCCTTATTTTACCCAGACTACCTCATTTCTATATCCTTAGATCAGGAAACAAATACAGAATTTCAATATTTGTTTGAAACTTTAAGGACTTTTGAAAGAAATTAATGGTACATGTTAAATAATAAAACAGAAAAAGGATTTCATGCTAACTTTGGTGAGCTTTGGGAATTTAAACCAAATTCCTCCCTATGAAGAATGTGAAACCTCCCTATAGAAAATTTTGCACAATGTGTTAAGTATACTATATTGTACAAAAATGTTTAATACACTACTTAAAATAGTAAAAAAAAAAATAGTGAAAATATAAAAATCTATCCCAAGAGGAATAAATTGTGATAGATTCACACTATGGAATACAACAGTTTTTTAAAAAAGTATGAAGTGTATTATGAATACAAAAATATGGATATACTACATAATACAGAATTTTTAAGAAGTTGCTGATATATCGGGGTGCCTGAGTGGCTCAGTGGGTTAAGGCCTCTGTCTTTGGCTCAGGTCATGTTCCCAGGGTCCTGGGATGGAGCCCCCACATCATCATCATCATCATCATCATCATCATCATCATCATCATCATCGGGCTCTCTGCTCAGCGGGGAGCCTGCTTCCTCCTCTCTCTCTCTGCCTGTCTCTGCCTACTTGTGATCTCTATCTATCAAATAAATAAATAAAATCTTTAAAAAAAAAGTTGCTGATATATCTATTTGTACAAAAGTTAGAGTTCTGTTAGTGTATTTACATATGTGCCCAGAAACAAAAACCTGAGAAGTTGCACCAGGAATAGTTACCAGTGACTACCTATAGGAGAGGGAGAGTAGGTAGAAGGGTACTATTACACCATTTGAATTTTTTTCCTAAAAGATTATGTACTACTTTTACAATAAAAAAAAAAAACAACACTTTGTATTCTTAGATAGAAGACTGAAATCATACTTCAGTGAAGAACACAAAATATTACTCTGATAGCAGAACTGTAACATATTCTTATTACTCAACTATAACAAGATCTATTTTTACATTCAAGTACTTTGTGCAATTGGTTTCATGTTTTTAATTTTTATTTAACAAAACCAACAACTCCTTTTTGGAAATAGGTAAGATAGATTATCAATCCAAAACTGAAAAACCCTTAGTTAATGGCAGTAAGAAAAATTTTAAAAGGCAAAACAAATATCCACACAATGTCTTTAAGAAAATTTACTCTGAAAATTTCAGTCGACAGCCAAGCCGAAGTATAATCTACACAAAGTACTTTACAACTGTAAGTGATTTATGATAGTAGAGAGACACAATAAATTCTTGAACTTTGAATTACTGAGCTTCTTGGTATCCATTTTATGAATACATAAGATTATCATCATTCAGGTGTCCTTTCATTAATAATATATGCTAGGCTGTGTAATTAACTATGAATTAAATTCAATAAAATATTAGGTTGCTAGCACAGTATGTTTGAGGCATTGTGCACTAGTGATACAGACAATCCCTAGTCAAGAGTATCTTACAAAATTTTTTAAACTGAATGCAATAATAAATAAAATTAAGGACTTTTAGAATCTCAACTACTCCTTCAATTAGGTAATTTGGGTGCCAAAACAACTTTCAGCCACTGTTTGCAATGTGGTATAAAGTCACATTTAGAGTACATTTGTGAATAGGCTGAAGAGGTTCACTATCACACACTTTGATAAGCAGTGGTTACACTCTCAAATGACAATCACCATCGAAATTGTGTGTATTCTGCGGTATTTTATCTATTTTCCTTTGTACATGAGTCGATCTCTAGGGACCCTTAGGAAACTATTTTTTTTAAGGCTTCTAAAATACTATTAGGAATATTATCATTACAATTCATTAAAATAAATCAGTAGGTATGCAGTATAAATTTACTAACAATAATTCCATAATTACTCTCAAACTTTCAATACCAGAAGAGACACACACAAAAATGTGTCTGTGCAAAGCATCTTAATTAAGCTGTTTCCTTACATCTAGGCTAAGCACCTTGAGAACTATATTTGTTTCCTTGCCTCTGTGTACTAAAAGAACTGTCATTTTTCACTCTTTCAACATTTCCCAATTTAACTAAGCCCCAATCCCTGGACAAGGCTATGAGGATAAACAGATTTGGTCCCTAACTTAAAGGAACTCACAGTTCAGTGGGGACAAAGGCAGAGTCTACATGACATCATCATTAACACCTAACTTTCACCATGAAAAAAGAAAGGTGGGTAAAGATAAAAGCAGGAAGAAATATTGCTCTTTGAGAAATAACATACATACAAAGATTCAAACAAATACTCATCCACTTTCAAAAATCCTTGTTGGATGAGTTATCTGCAAGAATAATACACGATGTACAGTGTTCTGAGGCATGACCCTTGGTTTCTCGAATCTAACACGCAGTCACGTGTGACTTCAGGCTTGCCACTTAACCAGGCTTGGCCTCAGTTACTCTTCTAAAAATGTCAATATTATCTTACTACCCTAAGCCCGAATCATTTTACTAACATAAACCAAACTGTATCTAATGGTTTCTAAGTCTAAGATCTGCATTACTCACATACTCATACATCAGATTCCCCAAGTAATCATGGCCCGGAGAACCAGTGTGAGTAAACTAGGTGAATTACGGTTCCTAAACTCAACTTTTACATCACCAAGACAATCAACTGCGATAGGTCCTACATTGTGCTTTAAACGTGGTGGGCTCACAAAATGTGTTACACAGACCATGACACAGTCTTAAAAAGATAATCAAGAATAACTGAATGCCTTAACTGTGTACCTTTCTAGTAACAGCAGGGTATATTTCCTACCACGAAATTCGAGTTTCTGCATTACCGGAACCACGCCTCCTGAAAAACCCAGGAGACACCATAAAAACCTCTCAAAGGAATGGGGAGAAAGATCCTGGATAAGCCAATAAAACGTTCCCAGTAAATAAATAAGTGAAATAAGCCCTGTTTTTTTTCTTCCCCTCCAGCTATGCAGCTGCACACAGAAGAGAAGCACTAGATTAGCATCATCTGCATTTCATTCCTTTTCTTGTGCAATTGCTCCCCGCCTATAATAAACAGACCTTGTGCTCAGGGGAGAATTTACTTCCCCGTTCAGTAAGTTCCTATTTTTCACTAAACTACGCCGTCTCCAATCAACAACCACCCTCCTGGGAAGACCAGGCACTCCTCTCCCCCTCAACTCCCGCGGCTGGCCTGATGCCCCCTACCCTAGAAATCCCCCCCCCCCCCTTTTCGAGCCTCTGCTGCATGGGTGTCGAGGCTCCGGGGGACAGCGGAATAGGCCTGCGGTGCTGTGCACAAACCGGAGGGGAGTCTAGCCCAGCCAGTGAGCGCCAAGCTGCCTCGGCCGGCGGGGGGCTCACACAAGCGAAAGCGGAGCGGCGAGCCCCACGCCCCCCCCCCCCACTTACCCACTTTGTCTTTCCCGTACATGTGCCCAGCCACCTGATGCGAGAGGGGCACGCATCCGTTGAGGAAGCAGAGCCTGCCGCCTGCCGGCTTCGGGGTGCCCTCGGGGGGGGCTTCGCTCACCGGTGGGGTCCGCATTTCTGGGGGGCCGGGCGCCTCAATTCGGAGGGGGGATGGCGGCTCCGTTGCCATAACGGAGAGCCGAAGCTGAAGGTATAGCCGCAGTGAGAACAGGAAAAAAATAAGGCGGAAGGAGGGGGAGCCGGAGAACCCGAGGGTCGCTTAGGCTTGGCTGCGAGGAGGCCCGGGGGTTCCCGCGGCTGGTGCCCGTTGAGGCCCGGGAAGGGGGCCCATGACGCCGCGGAAGCGCGAGCGCTCCCCTGCCTAACTCTCGGCGGAGCGCGGCTCCCGACTCCTGCTGCTTTGCCGCTGCGGTTACCGTTGCCGGCTCAGCCCTGGAAACGGAACCGAGCCGAGGAGCGGCGGCCGCGGCGGCGCCCCGCTCTCCCTGGGGCCCTGACGGCGAGGGCGGCCCCACCTCCTGCGCCCCCGCCCCCTCCCGCCGTCCTCCAGTCCCCTCAGCTGCCGAGAGCGTCAGCGCCGCCTGCACCGCCGCCGCAGCCGCAAGCTTCCGACTGCGCGACCCGCGGCCGCCGCTGCTACTGAGCATGCCCAGAGGCTGCCCGACGAGACCCCCTGCAGCCGGGCGGGAGCCTGGCGCAGCCAGCGCGAACAGAAGGCTACCGGATGGGGCAAGGGCCCTCGCGGTCTTTCTCACCCCCCACCGCTGAGCTGGCTTTACAGTGCCGGCCGGGCTGTTGTAGCTTCATTCATTCAGTGGGCGTTTCAGCGCTTCCTGGGGTCCGGCTCAAAGACTCCAGGGGCTTGCAGGTGTCAGGAGCAATAAGTCACGTGTTGAGAATTGGGAGGTCTTGGTGCCCTGGCTTGGGAGGCTACCCTGCAATCAACTCCCTCCGGCTCCCATCACGCATGGAAACGAGAAGAGTAAAAACAACCAGCTTCTTAGAAAATGCACCTTCAAAACACCCTTTGAGTTAATTCTAAACCCCCTCCCCAAATTTGGGCCCCTAAACCGCTTTTATAAAATATTTTGTAACTGACACTAATTGCAGACTGTAGGAGATAGAGAATAATCTTAGTATCTTTTTGAGTACATTTTTTTTTGGAAGAAATAAGCCGTTTTGTTTCTCCTACTCAGTCCTTAGCGCGGGTTCCAGGGTCCTCAATGGATAACTGGCTCAAAAGCATTAGAAAGTGACGTACACCGTGAGCGAGGTGAGGTTCTGAAATAGGACTTGTCTGCCACTGGCATTTTATAATGAAAACTGGTTGTGGCCTTGCAGGTGCCGAACTCAGCAAGAAAACTGTAGATAAAATCTTAGATACCTGATTATGTCAAGTGTACTACCAGCACCTGCCCTTTGCCGTAAGAAACCCGCACACCTGGAAAAGACTTAAATCTGACCTGGAATCTCTATTCTCCAAGCCCTGCCCCAGGCCCCAGGACTCCGCCCCACACGATTGCGCACACTCAGTTGCTACCTCTCTAGGTCTCCTCCCTACTTTCCCGCTGTCAAAATCCGGACTCAAGACTTTAGACTGGGACGCAGCTCCGCGCATGCTCAGCATCAACTAGAGTGGCAATACACACCGGCTCACGGCCAGCCGCGGCGCTTGCGCCGTAGCGGCCTGGAGTCGGTACGCGTAGGACGTTTCTCGAACCTTGACTCCGGGCCTCCGCAAGAACCTCTTTGTGCTTAGTGTCCTGTGCACACTCCTTGCAAGCGACGGCGCCATGAGTCTGACTTCCAGCGTACGAGGTGAAGTGGGGCCTGGGAGCGGGTGAGGCTGGAGGCCTGCGCACCGGTTGCAGCTTCCTCAGCTCCTCTCTGTGCTGTTAGTTACCGCTGCCCTGCGAGCCCGCCAGCCCTGTAACCTTGAGATGTAGAAGGGCAAGCGTAGGGCGGGCCTGCGGACTACCTGGGCCAAACCAGGAAAGGGGGCGATGTCGGTATGAATTGGTGATCTCTCCAAGCCTAAGGGGTACTGGGGCCATGGAAGCATCTACCCAAGTCTGGACCACGTTTTCCTTAACTAGCCGTGTCCTAAAACCTAACGATTCCGCCGCTAGCTTTTTTTTTTTTTTTTTCTTGTTCTCCCTTGAGACACTTCTGTTTTCTTAAATCACAGAGCTTGGAAAAGAGGAAAGGTTTAAAAAAAAAAAAAAAAAAGAACTGCTCCCCCTTCTCAAGTTTAAATCACCGTGGAGTCAGACCATCAATTTTCTGCAACCCTGAAGCAATGCGTGACTAATCACATCTCAGTTTTGCACATTTTTTAAAGGAAAGAAACCCAACCCAAGACCTTCAGTTCTCCCAGGTTTTTTGTTGTTGTTATTGTGTTTTTTTTTTTTTTTCCTTTTTTTAAATCCCTCTGGCATCTGCCACTCCGTGGCAGTAGTCCAGGAGAGAGGATTGAGAACGGAGCTCTTTGAACTCTCGGCTTTCTCAGCCTTGCTTCCTTTGCTCTAGTCTGGCGTTTGGAAACAGGTCCAGTTAAAATGAAGAGATTTGCTAGAATCTATTATTGTAGAGATTCACGTTATAACAATTCTTGGTGGTGGTAGAACTGTTAATATAATACTGTGCACCAGTAATAAAATACTCTGCCCAGGTATAAAACGCCACGCCTCATGGTTTGGTTACCTTTAACAGTTGTTAAGTAAAAGTAAAGAGATTGTTCAGAAGCTAATTAAAAAGAGCCTTGTTGATTCATTTAGTAAATATTGAGCATCTAGAGTGCCAGGGTTCTGTAAAGGCTCTCTGTTAACCTGAGACCTAATTTTGTAATCTGTTCTTTAAATTGGAGAATTTCATGTCTGTTTCCAAAAGTTATCTGGCAGAGTTAGGATGATAACCCATGACATTTTTAACTTACTAATGAAGTTTGTAGGAGGTGATTATTTATAAAACTTATTTCAAAGGATGCTCATCTTTAAATAGAGGTACCTTGGTGCTCTTAAAATAGCGATTTTTGTTTTTGTTTTTTAAAAAATCCAAACCTGTATTTTCTCAGGAATAAAACTATTGTGTAAAATAAGATAATCAAATGACTTGAGCCACTGATAATTTTATAGGAAGACAGTTTGCACCTTTGTGATATGGAAAGATTCCAACACGTTTTTCAAATGTGGAGTCATTTTGTGTATTTTAAACCTAGGGTGTAGTGCCCATTGAAATGTGAAGTAAGCGAACCCTAGGACTTCTTAAGACTCCCTGCTGGCCAATCTTTCTTGCAATCGAGACAAATTTGTGTGTGTGTGTGCGTGTTTAATCCAACCATAAGGGAATCCAAAGGTGACTTTCCCATTAGCTTGCTGTTTTGTGTGTGTGTGTGTGTGTGTGTGTGTGTGTAATCCAACCATAAGGGAATCCAAAGGTGGCTTTCCTATTGGCTTGCTGTTTTCGAGGGATAGGAAATTGCTTGTTGAAGAGGGTTATCAGCTTAAACTTGAAGTACTCAACTTTGTAATGAGAAGTAACTACTTCTTATTTCACTTAAAAGTGTAAAGGTTGTTAGGAGGATTGTGGGCAAAGGTCCAAAACCTTTGTAAATCACTTCATCCAGCACCTTCTTATCTTCTTCTCCAAACATAGTAGTTTGGCAAGGAAGGGACAGATAATGTATTGAGAGACCACCTTGTAATATTTAGACCTCAAATTATTCCAAATTTTTAAACCACACTAAAAAATCTGAAATTTTGATTTTTTAATTTGGGGAAGATGAATTGAAAAGATGTCTCTTCTCAACTAAATAGATTAATAATTATAAAGGGCTTAAAAATAGTATGTAGTTTGTAAGTATATGTTAAATAAAAAAAGGGTGTTGCCTATGCATGTAGAATTCTTGTTTGTATTCAGAAGAAAAATAATGGGTTGTGGGTTATAAATAAATTAATAGGGATCAGGCCAGGACATAAATCTGGGCAAGTCAATGAGGATAAGTCATTGGAATTGAAATCCAGAGATCCTATTCAGTGAGATGGTTCTTGATATACTTTGAGTGGGTGATGCCAACCTTTGTTTTTCCCTTATTGAGGTATAATCAGCATACTTATGCTGAACTTATTTTTTATGTGATACCAGATACTACTAGTTTATTATAGTTTCTAACATTAAGCATCTTTCACTACAGTGGAGTCCCCCATCTTTAGTGACCCCTCCTCAACCCAGTATATAACTTTTAGGAGGTTTACTATATGTGTTGCTCCTTGATACCTCTAAGTCATTGAATCTGCTCCTTTAGGTTATAAACAATAAATAAATATTGGGGGACATTAGGGACTATAGATGAAACAGGATTGGCAGTGAGTTGATCCTTGTTGGAGCTGAGTGAGGGTAAATGGGAGTTCATTATAATAATCCTTGTATATGTCTGAAGTGTTCCATAATAAAGTTTTATTTTTATTTTTTTAAGATTTTATTTATGAGAGAGAGAGTGCGTACGTGAGTGCACAAGCAGGAGGTGCAGCAGGCAGAAGGAGAAGCAGGCTCCCCGCTGACCAAGGAACCCCATGCAATTCAGGGCTCCATTCCAGGACCCTGGAAACATGACCTGAGCCAAAGGCAGATACTTAATTGACTCAGTGACCCGGGCATTCCTAAAGTTTTATTTTTAATATAAAGAAATGTTTAAGTCCCACACTCATACAGTATGTTAAGATGAGGCCAAAGATATGTCAATTGGCGTAAGAGCAATGTGATGGTAAAATAGACAGATGGAGTTGCAAATTCGAATTAATAATCTGTTATTTCTTTTTATTCAGCTAACATTGAACACCGCCTGTAAGCCAGGCCTTAAGAAAAAAACATTACCAGGCACAGCCTGCTGATCTGGGAGAGAGACCTTAGGGAGGGAAAGATTTTAAACATAGTCCCCCTCCCCCTCTCCTGAGAAGAAAAGGACATTCTGATTCTGTGGCAGTTGACACTGTGGAGGAGAGGACGATTTTGGACAGATAAGGGACTAAAGGAACAGAAACAGGGTGAGATTTCTGTCTAAGTTAAAACAAAATAATTTCCGCAGTAGAAGAGAAAAGCTGGGGAATGGGTTATAAACCAGAGATTGTTTTCAGTATCTGAATTATCCTGAGAGAAAACCAGTATTCTGCTATACAAATCAATATTATACAATAGTAGACCAAGGGAAGAGTAAGAATGGAAAGGATTATTTAGAAATGTATTTCCTGTATTTTGTTCTTTATATTGGCTTATTCATTGTATTGTAGAGAGAGAAAGCATGGTTAAGCAAGATTGGGAAGGGTGGGGTTTGATCTAACTGTAGGAATACTGTACCTTGAGAGATGTTTATAAGAGAAGGGAAGTGAGGGTAAAACCAGAAGAGGCAGAAGTAGTGCTCAGGAGTTTTCTGGACCCCGGTTAGGAAAGAATGTCTGAAAGGTGCCAGCTGAAATATCTTTGAAAATTGGGTTTTAGTAAAGTCTCATTTTGCCTTTGAGGTTGTGTTTATTCTTAATAGAATATGCCCACTATCAAAAACTAAATGTTACTTAGGTTTTGTTGTTTTTATTTGTTTGTTATATTGGGTTTTCTGTTCTTTCTCTATTCTAATTGTTGACTTTTCAGGCAATCATCATTCTTGGCTATCTCTACAGGTTTCCTTTTCCTTCTTTTCCCTAGAGTTACCAGTGGCATCCACAGCTTTTTGCCAGGAAAAAAAAAAAAAAAAAAGATTCATTTATCATGAAATGATAAAACAGTAACGTATTTCTTATTCTGGGAACTTTTACATTTGTCTCTATGAGATTAGAGAATTAGGTTTTTGTGGGGGGGGGATGGAAATTCTTAGGAATTTATCTAGCCCTGATTCTGAAAAACCCACTGGAGCAAATGCAAAGCCCTTTTCCTAGCACACATATGGTACTATGACATTTATATAGGGTCATAAGTCACCTTTGTTAGGGGGTAGAGTAACACTGCGTGTTTTGATTCCCTGTGGGGCAGCTACTTTTCAATAATATCTAGATTCAGTTTCCATTTCTTCATTTGCTATTGCCTCTTGTGTGTGTCAGTTATTCTGTCATTTATTCCACTGTCAAAAATTCCAGAGAAGTAAAGGTTTAAAAAAAAAAAAGTCACCATATGGATTCAGTGGCTAATATGAGAAAAGAGAATAGAAGACTGTTTTGATGGTTAAGAAAGATTCTTTTGGCCTATTACGATTTTCAGGTAGAAATTCCTATAGGATTTCTTTCTTATGTTGTGAGACAAATTAATCTTAACCAATTTTAGTTCTTTGGGTTTCAGACCTTTTTGATATATGTAGGCACTATTAAAGCAAATCTGCTAGGGATTACTTCATAATTCACCTAAAAAGTAGGGTGTAACTAAGATTAACTAAGATTAATTTTTATTGTGTTAATTTATTCTTTTGGGATATTTCCTCCTTTTAAGTTTATACTAAAGATAATATTTAGCAAATATAATTGAACATGTACTATGCATAGCAGTATTTTAGCCCATTTTGTGATACCTCCGTTAGCTAATCAGAGTGGCTTTCCATTAACTCAGAAGCAGATTGCTACAGCTCCTGACATTAAGTCCTTTCTCAAGGGAGTTCCGTGGTAAATAATACATCAGAAAGGACTATCATGAACCAAGCTAGAAATCAGAGCGAAGTTTCAGCCCTGTTAGGAATTGTTACGGGGTAATATCATGAAGCTGCACTAAAATTCAAGACCAATCTACACAAAATGTGTAGTTAAAAACGTTCTTTAGTGAATCCAAAGTTTGAAGCTGTCAAATAACTTATTAACTTGTCTTAGTCATGTAGCACCTGGGAAGGACATAATGTTAATGTTTATTTTAAAAGGATTTTAGCAAGGAGGAATAGAAATGTGGGAAGGAAAACTGTTTTGTAGAGAATACTGTAGTTGAAAGTAGAATCCAAGGAATGAGTTAAAAGAGAGGACCCAAGATAAAAGGAACTAAGTGTGAGAATGGTTGTTCCTTCCCATTATAGTTTTGTAACAATGAGCTCCAATTTAATGTAGGGCATTATTAGGAAGGGTGATTAATCACAAATAAGAAATTTGACTCAATAGTGCAAATAAGCCATACAGTTGATTATTCATTATATATTTTTATTTGTTCTTGGAATGTGTTTTTTGTACTTATCTCTCTAGAGCTTTATTTGATAGTCTGGGAACTTATTAAAAACACAGAGAAGATCTGACTCAGGAAGTGCTGGGAAGCAGTCCAGTGTGTTTATCCTGACCCCTGTTCAACTTTTTCCTGCAGTTCACTCCATGCTGGGAATAGACAACTCTCCTCTGAGGCTGAGGCTAACCAGACTATGCAGAACTTTCTACTCTCCAACATTCTGTGGAACTGGGGTAGTTAAGTGCTTGGGTTTCTAAGGGCTCCTTGAAAAGCTACATGAAAAGAATAAATAGATGGTCTGTTAGTCAAGCAAATAATTGAGTAGAAAAATGTCATTAAATTTAAAAATGACGTTTGTAGGAAATTCAAATAATCATCCACTGGTGGGTAATGGAAATTTAGACTTTATTGAGAATATAACTGTAATTATATTCATGTTTTCTCTGAAATAAGAAATTAATACATTCTCATTTAATACATCTGACTTTTACTCTAATGAGAAAGCACTTTTAAATTTAAAAAACAAAAACTTTTGAGTGACTGAAGCCCAGAATCCTGCTGGATATATTTCTTTGAATGTTTAAGGGCAGCTTTGTTTTATTTGTCCTTTTGTTTGTTTTTTTTCTTCAGATACCAATGCTCTTTGTGGTTATGCACTTTAAAATCACTAAAGGACCTACTATTTAAATGAACTCTGATGAGTCAGTTTGTTAACATAATCACCTCCTGATTTTTTGGGTGGGGGTAGTTTTTATAATCTGAATTTTTTTATTTATCAGTTTTTTTTTTTTTTTAAGCAGTAGGTATCTTCAGGTTTGCATTTTATTTTAAATCTATGAACACTTTAAAAATTATTATTAAAGGGGCGCCTGGGTGGCTCAGTGGGTTAAAGCCTCTGCCTTCCGCTCAGGTCATGATCCCAGGGTCCTGGGATGGAGCCCCACATCGGGCTCTCTACTCAGAGGGGAGCCTGCTTCCCTTCCTCTCTGCCTGCCTCTCTGCCTACTTGTGATCTCTGTCTGTCAAGTAAATAAATAAAATCTTAAAAAAAAAAATTATTATTAAACATCGGTTTTTTTCTTTTTTCTTTTTCTTTTTCTTTTTTTTTTTTTTTTAAGTTTTCCTCTATCTCAATTTAGCTATCATCTTTCAATAGAAAATATGCAATTGCCTCAGTAAGGGCTGGGGAAAGTCTTAACAAGAATTGTTACACCATTGTGTTGTGATTATTTTGTTAACAGTAAAAATTTTTGACTATCGGAATGCTTAACTCAAAAACTGGATTTCCTAAACATATCATGTTAGTAAAAAATACACATTATTAGTATATATTTTGGTTTTGATGATTATTCCTGTTTTCCTTCCCCGCTCTAGTTGAATGGATCGCAGCAGTTACTATTGCTGCTGGGACAGCTGCAGTTGGTTATCTAGCTTACAAAAGATTTTATGTTAAAGATCATCGCAACAAATCTATGGTAAACCTTCACATCCAGAAAGACAACCCCAAGATAGTACATGCTTTTGATATGGAGGATTTGGGAGATAAAGCTGTGTATTGCCGTTGTTGGAGGTCCAAAAAGGTGAGGAAAACAAGTTTTTTATGTTAGTGCCATCTTTAATGTAACATTTCTTTTTAAACTATTCTGTCAAACATGTATCACTAGATATAATTAGGATATCTCTTGATCTTTTTTTTTCATTTGTAAGTAATCTCTGTGCCCATCGTGGGACTTGAACTCACAACCCTGAGATCAAGAGTCACCTGCTCCACTGACTGAGCCAACCAGGCTCCCCTTTTCTTTCTTTCTTTTTTAATGCATTCTGTTCTTCTCTGTTTTCCATGTTCTCTTCATGATTATATTTCCTAAAATGTATAACTATTATGCAGTAAAATTGCGTTATTCCCTTACTGATTTCAGGTGAGTGTAACTGTATTCTTGACCAAGAAGAGAAAAAAAAATCCCTTTATTTATTCTTAGGATTTCCTCCCCAAGTGGATCTTTGCCTCCACTCTCCCAGGAAAGAGAGTATGCAGCCTAAAACACAAAGAAACAAAAGGGTAGATTCTTTTCTTGAGCTTTTTAAGTTCCTGAATTCTAGGACAAGTTTTAGAAAATTCAGGAGAAACTTGGAAAACTACCCTTGAAAATTTCTTATCTGGTAAATATATTGACACTGTATCTAAGCTTTCTTTAAGCTATAGCTCCTGTAATTAAATACATAACAGGATTTTTTTAATCTTCTTTTGTGATAATTACATTTCATCAAGTTCCATTTGGAACTCTCATCTGTGATACCTGCAGCTTTTAGACAGTGATGACAGGTAGTGACATAAAGATGGTAAATCCTTTCCTAAGGTCATCTTGAAAAGCTTCATACATTGAATGTGATGTATTATAAGAAATATGGTGAGTGTACTGCCACTATTAGTATTTAAATAAGATGGATTTCACCAAAGATGATACTATAACACTTAATAGACAATAGGGCACCTGGGTGGCTTAAGTGTCTGCCTTCAGCTCAGGTCGTGATCCTAGGGTCCTGGGATTGAGTTCAGCATCAGGCTCCCTACTTAGGGAGCCTGCTTCTCCCACTCCTCTCCCTGCTTGTGTTTTCTCTCTCTCTCTGTGTCAAATAAATAAATAAAATCTTAAAAAAAAAAATAGATGATAAAAATGATTTATCTGTTTCTGAAAGCACATGTCAGGGACCATCTCTTCCCACCGTGGAAAACCATTATCACAAATTGTATATCAAATAAGACGTCACAAACTAGGTACTAGAAAGTGTATTCTAACTCTCTTCCCCAATAAAATGATGATGTATAATCCAGTGATACATTGCTTAGATAATGTCATTGTATTTGAAACTGCTTGATGAACATATGGAATGTGAAAAATTAATAGTTCCATTACAAGTTGTACCTTAAAATGTATAGTGTTCATTTGGTATGTAGGATTATTTATAAGTACTAGTGGGGTTGCTAGAAAATAATCCTCAGTAATATTCTGTAGACCAGACCTTGTTTGTATTTTAAAAATTACGCTCATTTTAGGTTTTATTCTCCTGTTGATCACCAAAATATACAAAACAATGCCTTTAGAAATTCAGGAATTTTTAAGTCAGTTTAGTAGTTCTTTAGTCAATGATCATTTAGTGTCTACTATATACGCATGAGAAAAGTTAAATTGTAACATACCCAGTATCATAGATGTGTACAGTAGACTCAGTGCTTTAAATAAAAGAAAGGGCTTATGCTGTGGGCCAGAATTTTCTAGGATAGCATATATAGGATATAACATATAGGATAGGATATACATGGGAGTAAATTGCCCTTGGAAAGTGTGGTAGTATTTGAATGAAATACCAGTTTTGGGGGAGTCTTTATTAAAATCTGTAGGAAAGGACTCAAGTGAGCAAAGGTGGTGGGATCAATGAAGAATCTAGTCTGGTCACTGCTCTTCCATCCCCCCAGGAATAAGTCCACAATGAGGAGAGTCTTGGGTACCTTTGCGAGGAATTTGTGCCTGCAGACATGGGGAACTTCTTGTCAGGAATTTCCAAAGTTATGATACTTATGCGAGAGTGATAGCTCTAGGAATGGAGAAAAATGAACAGACAGAGGAAACATTTTGAGGGAAGGATAAGCTTAATGCACTGACTGATAAGGGAGATTGGTGGAGAAAAACTGAAACTAATTAAAGAATCTAAACCTCTTGTATTAGAAGAGATGGTGCTGCTAACAGAAATAGGACTTCCAAGAAGAAAAGCTGATTTTCTAGAAAGGTGACAAAGAATTCAATTCCAAAGTGAATTTTGAGGTGACATTTGAATGGAAATGTTCAGCAGATAATCTGAAATGTGGATCTAAGGCTGAGACATCAGAGTTGGAGATAGAAATCAGCAAAACCGAGGAGTTAAACATAAGAATGCTTATGTTTAAGCATTAAGAATGCTTAAGAAGATCTGTGATGCAGTTAAAAATCAAGCATGAAATCTTGGGGAATTTTTTGCATTTTGGAAAGAGGAATAAGAGCCAAAAAAGGAGATGAAATGGGCCAGAGTCAGAAGAAAACTGGAATTTTCTCCTTTTCATTATGAAGCCATGATATTCTTAAAGACTTGGCTATGAACATAGGCTTGTGTAAAGACAACTAGGTCAATATTATAGTATGAGTTCCATTAAACAATTAGGCAATTGACCTTTTGGTGTCATTTCAACAGAATAATTAGAATAGAAGCTGTGTCTAAGTGGGTTAATGTGTGAATCACTAAAAATGAAATGCTAGGAGTATATGTTAAAATTTCAGTAACTATCATAGTAAGTAGAAAGGAAAAGAAAGATGACTGCTTGAGTGAAATCTAAAGCATAGATTTGGGGTCAAGTAAGGGGTGTTTGCCTTGGTTGGATTTTCCCAGAGGGTAAAGAAAGGGTCAATAAAGCAAATAGGAACGTATGAGGACTAAGATCTTAAGTATATCAGGAAGAATCAATAATGGACACAAGCTACTGGTTTAAATGTTTATTAGACTTTATAATTCAACAAAACATTCTGGGATTATTTTTTCATCACACAGTGTCCAGATTCTTAAACCAAAGATGGTCATTTCTCATAAGTAGACATCAAGGAAAGGAATGACAGACCAGTCAATTTATTTCCCGTTTTCTCTTTTTTTTAAAGCTTATCTTTTATGCTCTTAGTGATCCTCTTTGCATCTAGTATTTGTCAGTTCTGAATTTTAGGAACTTTTTATTCCCACATGAATCAATTAAGAATTCACTTTGAATTTTATTCTTGTTAATTGATGTTCTTATTCTTCTGATATCTTTGGAAACTTCCCCATTCTGGAGGTATGTAAGGTTATCACAGAGGTGCCAACTCACACATTTCCCTACCAGTGTACAAAAGACTTTAATACCTTTGGCTGTATTGAGTTCATAATCAGTAATTTTTTTTTTCATATAAACCAGTTGTGTTTATAATGCAACAAAATGAAAACACCTTTCTACTTATCCCAAAAAAGTTACATATGATAGAATCTTTAATTCTGTTCTAATTCATTCTTAAGGTACAATCACTAGTAGCCCATTGTGTGGGTTTAACATTTTTGAGTGGTTTTCTCAGGCCTAATGAATCATCTCTTAGCAGTGTGCAGAAATTACATTTTTAAATATGCCTTGTTTGTCCTCTCCGCTCTCCCTCTTCCAAGGATTGGTATGCCGTCTGCTGTTTCAGAAACATGTTATTTCATCGTATTTCACAAAAGGGCTATCCATATGTGACAGGAGAAAGAAAGGAGGCAATAGAGAAGTGACGGCGGGAAAGATAGTATTTGAGATAGTGCTGTCTTGAAAGAGGTGGAAGATGAGAGTGGGAGCTCAAATGTGAAAGGAAGGAAGAGAGAGCTTTATTTTAGAAATAAGAAAGTGAGAGAACTTTAACGTTAGAGGGAAGAGTATGCAACATAGTCTTGCTAGATTGCCACCCTGCCCCCACTCACCTGAGTTGTATTTTGGCCATCTAGGAGGCAGGAGAGAGTTTGAACAAGGACAGTAGATGGATGCGCACACACTAAGAAATAAGAATAGAGGAAAGGTGTGCCAGTTACTGTCAGGAACTCAAATGAAGTTGAAATGCAACTGAACATACTGTGTTGAATCATTTTGTTTCATTTACAACTTTAGGATTTTAATTTTTTGTTAGTGGTGTGCTTGTTTTTTGTTTTAGGGTGTGTGTGTGTGTGTGTGTGTGTGTGTGTATATGTCTGTGTGTCTGTGCGTTACAGAAGTCTCCAGCCTATTAATGGTTTGGAAGAGAGTGCGTGGAGTCTGAAACAAAATTCTGAGTGATGGTTACATAGCTTGACCAATCCACATAAGGATAGTCTTATAAAATCTTAATTTCTCTTAATGTATTTTACTACTGTCTTACATTTTACTTAAAGTAAGTCCCTAAGAATGGAATAAAATGTCATATTTCTCAGATAATGTCAGATCTTACTGCTTTTCTTTCTCAACCAAAGCAAGACCATTTCTCAGAGTTTATGTTAGTCAAAATGGCCCCCGGCAACTTCCTTGGGAAATACAATTCAAACTCATTAAAAATACAAAGTTTGGAGAAGGAAAATAATTTTTTTTAATTGTTGCAGATATAAAAGGTGAGGAGCATCTATTTATTTTTATCTTGAAATAACCCCAAAACCAGAAACATCATAACTTGAGATTAAAGCCTTTAAAAAGAAGCAAATCTTGTGTATTTTATGAAGACTGATGATGTTGCTAGCTTTCCAAATGAAAAGCAAGAATCTCTAGGTCTTTTTTTGTTGACCCTAATCATTTTTTAAGCCTCATCTCTAAGTCCTCTCTCTCTTCTCTAATTTTAAAAATATGTGGGATTTGTAGTTTACTAATTGTTAACAAATAAATGATATTTTCTGGACATACAGGAAGTTCAGCCGATTCAATCTGCAAGCTTTTCTCCAGAATTTGTTAATAACAAACACTGGCATGTTAGAACAGATTTCAGAATCACTCATGAGCTAAAGTTTTTTCCATTGGTTATTTAGGTTTTACTTTTAAATATTGATGACTACGTGAATTAAATATACCCTTTGTGGGGGTTTTTTGTTATTTCATCTCTTTGCTTGACTGTTTAACAAATTTCAAATCTTCAATGAAAGGGTATTTTTTGTTTTTGATATATAATTGCATTAATACAAAAACTACTATACTTCCTAGATTACATTTGAAAGTATACACATATTTTCTTTCTCTAGCATAGAAAAGTTAAAAAATAGTACAAGACACTTCCTGAAAAACATAAATATTGTTATATAATTTACCATTTGAATTTTAATGCCAAGTAATTGACATTCATATTGAGAATCATGAATTAATTTCAATAAATATATCCCATTTATATGTACAGTGTATTCTTAAGAAATTGTTAATCCAGTCCTGTAGTAACTCATCTTGGTCCTGGTTGGGGGGAAAAAAAAAAAGTTTAGTTTTTTTTCATTAACTTAAAGTGAAAAAACTCTGATGAGTAAGTATAAAAATACTTAATCTTTACATGAAGTTTGGGAGAAGATTCTGCCCTAAGTCAGTAATTCCTGAGATTAATAAAGTACTATTAAAAGATATCTGTGTCTCTGAACAAAATGATTTTTAATGCTTAGTTTACATTTTAAAGTATAAAAGCTTTATATATTATGAAAGCATGAAAGTTTTTTGAACAAATAGCCAGAATCTACTGTTCGCTGTTTTTTTTTTTTTTTTTAATATTTTATTTATTTATTTGACAGAGATCACAAGTAGGCAGAGAGGCAGGCAGAGAAAGAGGAGGAAGCAAAGAGCCTGATGTGGGGCTCGATCCCAGGACCCTGGGATCATGACCTGAGCCGAAAGCAGAGGCTTTAACCCACTGAGCCACCCAGGTGCCCCTGTTCGCTGCTTTTTAAAGAAATATTTTTTCTTTTAAAACAGGAAACAGACAAATTTCTGTTTTTAGGCATACCTAGATTATCATATAAAAAGTATATTCTCATCTTAGATATATAGCTTTCTTAACCTTTTATAAGATGTTCTTTGTATATTTCTTTGTAGATTTCTCTCCTGTTCTTGATTCTATATAGAGAGGGAAATAATTTTTGAACATGTATTATTTTTCTAGAATTTTTTAGTATTTTCAAAATGAGATTCAAAAAGAAAGAACCATGCTATTTCAGTAAGTTATTTAAGGCTTTTCTATTTTAAATACTTTAGATTTTAGAAATACATTTTATAATCTGTATATGTAAAACTGTTCAGTAACATGTTTTGTGTGTGCTGTTTATAAAAAATGGAGTCTTTTACAATGTAAATTTGTATTCTCACTGTAAAATCATCTGTGTTTGTTTATTAAACATATGTCACCTTGAAATGCTGATCTCTGCTATAGGGTACATTTTAGTTTGATTTTTGTGGATTGTTATGGCCTCTTATCCATGCCAAGAAAAAACTGAGAGCTTAGATTGATTGTTTTTGTTGTGAGGACTTGTTTTTAACAGGAATATACTGTGTACCATATCCTATTGAGGAAAGAAAGAGGAAAAGAGGAGGAGAGGGAAGGAGAAAGGAAAGAGGAAAAGAAAGCTTTACATACATTGCATTGATGTTGTCAGCTACCCCAAGATAGAATTTTTACTTGGAAATATTAGATATGCTCATACCTTGACTCTTGCTGTAAATTTTAACTAATTTACTGTATCTTGGAATTATATACAAATAGTAAAATTAAAATTGAATTTCTTTAACATAATATTTTAATCTTAGAATAGATACTTCTAATGTCAAAGTTGAAGATTATATACCCTTATTGTCTGTTTTCAGGTATCTAAAATTATACTGCCTCCACTGTGAGTAATGAGGCAATTTTAATCTTAAGGCTAAGATTCCTGTTACTTTTTAGTCTTCTAAATTGGCCTCTTCAATGCAATAGTGTACCTTAAACCAAACAGTGACTCTAGATTCTAGAATATTAGGTACACTTCAGACATCAAGAATAAAATGAAGATGCTCGCTATCATTATTTAATGTGAAGTAGAAATAAAAGGTATAAATACAGAAGGAAAGAAAAAAATAATTTACTAGTAATTGGACCTTCTAAGTGTAAAATCCTGAGGAGACATGTAAAACATTGTTGAATTCCTATTTTTGTCATTTAACAGTAGGAAGGCTATACCTGCAAAAACTGTTGATAATATATAGCATAAGTAGTTAGGTATGAAAATATACCTAATTATGATAACTATAGAATATGTAAGACAGAAATAATGTTATCAGAGTATGCATGAGACCTGAAGATGAGGATTCCAAGAGAAATTAAATAGTACTTGTCAAAAAAAAAATTCTCAGATTTATCTGGAAGAAAAATTGGTAAAGTTTAATAAAGGTGGGTAGAGAATAAATAAGAAAAGTCTAACAAGAATAATTTGAAGGAAACCTAGCCTCTCCCAAATATTGAAGCATATTTTAAACATCGTTATTATCCCAGCAGAGTAGATTGATGAGTATGATAGTGTAGAACCTATAAATAGGCATTTTTACAGGTAGAACTTACTTTGTAAAATTAGGAATAAAGTGTAACAGTTGTACAAACTCTAATAATATTGAAGCAACAGGATCTTAGAACATCATTTTGTAAAGTGTGTTCTGTAGAACACTATGATAATAGATATCAGAGTTAAAAGCGTCCATGGCAGGGGCATCTGGGTGGCTCAGTGAGTTAAGCCTCTACCTTCGGCTCAGGTCATGATCTCAGGGTCCTGGGATCTAGCCCTGCCATCCGGCTCTCTACTCAGCGGGGAACCTGCTTCCCCCGCAACCCCCTGCCTGCCTCTCTGCCTATTTGTGATCTCTCTCTCTGTCACATAAATAAATAAAATCTTCCAACAACAACAAAAAAAAGCATCCACGGTTCGGTCAGCCTGGGAAATTTTGAGCTAAAATAGTATTTTTTAATAGCAGGACTTCTTTTAAATAATAATGTATGCTACAAATCAAGAGAATTATATGTTTTTTTAAAACATAATGAAACCAAATCAGAACATCTTTTAGGACTTCTTTGGAGCATACTCTGACAGGCACTGTTAGAAATTTACTTCTGGGGGTGCCTGGGTGACTCAGTCATTAAGCGTCTGCCTTCAGCTCAGGTCATGATCCCAGGGTCCTGGGATTGAGCCCCGCATCTGACTCCCTGCTCAGAGGGAAGCCTGCTTCTCCCTCACCCACTCCCGGTGCTTCTGTTCCCTTTCTTGCTGTGTCTCTCTCTGTAAAATAAATAAAAATAAAATCTTAAAAAAAAAAAAAAAAAAAGAAATTTACTTATGGGGTGCTTGGGTGACTAAGTGGGTTAAGTGTATGCCTTTGGATCAGGTAATGATCCCAGGGTCCTGGGATCTAGCCCCAAATCGGGCTCCCTGCCCAGTGAGGAGTCTGCTTCTTCCTCTCCCACTCCCCCTGCTTGTGTTTCTGCTCTTGCTATCTTTCTTTGTCAAAATAATTAATTAAAAGAAATTTACTTCTGTCACTTTTCTACCACTGAATCCCAAAATGTCAGTTATATTTAAAATGTGAAATCATGTAAAGAAATTTAGGAGAAAGATGTCTCCATGAAGAATGTTAAAAAGGGAAATACTGGCATGTTTGTATGAAACTAATAGGAAAGTAACATGAAAAAATTAGCAAAAAGGTTTGGGGAAAATTGCTACAAAGATGATCAACAAAGGGATAACACACAAATTGATTCTAAACAAATGAACTTAGGCTCTAAATGGACACAGTTCACTAGATGGGGAATTGTAACTGTAACATATAAACACGGAAAAGATATTCAGCATCATGAACAAATATCACAAATGAAAATGCAGTTAATCATCTGTATTATCCACAAGTTGATTTCTTCCTTCTGCTTGGTGTTTATACTTCACATATGCTCTTTAAGAATACCTATATAAGGTGGGCTAAGAAAATCTTTTTATTGAGAGTTGACGTGTGTTATATATATATAAGCATCACCCCCACTCTGCTAAACTAATAGTGATTTTGCAATTAGCCATTGACATTCTCTCTTTTTCTAGTTCCCATTCTGCGATGGATCTCACACAAAACACAACGAAGAGACTGGAGACAACGTGGGACCTCTGATCATTAAGAGAAAGGAAACTTAAATAGACAGTTTTGACACTGCAAACAAACTTGTCATGATGTTTTCTGATTGTTTAATTAGAATGACTACGACTTCTGTCTAATTCACCTCCCTTGGGTCCTAGATGTGGTCTGTTGGAAACTGCAGCTTTCATATTCATGGCATTTGCCTTACTTGTTGAACCATTGTGGTGCACATTTGTTTAAACAAAAAAAGGAGAAAGTAAAAACCAACTTCATGGCTTGTGGGTTATTTTGGTCTTGTAAGGATCCGTTTCTTTATGTTTAAAGTAATTATATTAGAATATAGTTCTGTATTAAAGTTACCATTAAATTATTGTCAAAATCCTGTATATGCAGGTTGTACTTATAAGTTTCAAAGAAAATTACCACCTTTTAATATTACTTAGTTAACCTAGAAAGTAAATTGGGTGTGATTAAGGTAAATCTCTTAATATAGGAAAAACCTGTTACGACCATGATTCTCTACTTGACAGAGATGACACTGAGAAAATATAACTTCTATATTTTCATAGTTTTTAATCAAAATGAACTTGGAATGTTATTCTGCTTAATTATAAGTGGGCCGGACCTAAAATAAAAGGGCACAGTAGCTTCTTTATTCATTTTCATGAGTATTTAATTGACCCATGAAAGGAACCAATACTGGAAATTTAGATCAAAGTGATATTAGATTTAAAGTAGTCATGAAGAAGGTCTTAAAATGTTAATGTTCCAGGGTTCTATTCCAAGAAGTGGCACTTGTAGCAGGAACATTGAAAGATTTGGAACACATGATGTCAAACCTCTTGAACAGAGAGCCACACATCCATGACAGAAATAGTAGTCACAAAGCTAGATCAAAGGCACAGGTAGATTTTATTTCCCACTCTCCAAAATCAGGCACATGCATATTTCTAGTAAAGAAACTTGGGGGAGTAAAACAACTACATTCTCTTAAATTACATGATCTTAAAAGCAGAAATTTGAAGACAAGTTTTTGTTTATATAATATTTCTCAAAGATTCAGAAATATTGCATTCATTCCTGATTCAGAAAAAAAAATGAAAACTGAAAATAATTAGGAGCAATAAAAATATTAAGACAGGAGTAGTTAACGGGTGGATTTTTAGAGATTAGTTCTTTGGGTTTTATGGATTAGAAGGAAAAGCCAGGACAGAATATATATGTAATACAAACAACTTGACAAAGTTAACAAAAATATTCTTATCATTTCTTTCAGTCTACTTGAATTCTCAGTAGTAGTCAATAACAAGTTTCTATGTGGTAAAATCCAGAATTACCATGGAAGTCATAGGAATCAAAGCAAATATCAGCATTCCTATATTTCATGTACGATCAGTGATATTTTTTAAATGTACAGTTTTGTGTATTACAGTAGGTAAAGTTTTTACCAAAATTGTGTATACTAATATTAAGCAGCCTATATGACTTAATATGGATGTGTCTTTAAGACACATCTTGAATACACAATCTAAAATACTACAAACCCTGATTCTGCCTATCAGTTTCTTAAGGTGAATTTCTTTCCGTACCTCTGCTTCCTGTTTTAAGTAAGTATGAGTGGGTCTGCAAAAGAAACATCGTGCTTTTAAAGGTTGATTGTTTTAAGGAAAAAAAATCCATGAACTCCCGGTTTCTGATAAAGGGGCATCCCTTTAACAGACTAAACTGTATTTTTAATTTTAAGTTTGAAATTACACTATTGGTCATGCATTTTTATAGCTAGTGAGGGGCAGGGAGGAAATTAGTGCCAATTCTCAAAACTATTTTTCAAAGGAATAAGATTATGTGTTTGTTTATGGTGGAATTAGAGGTGATCGCCTAATTGAAATGCAGATCTACTGTAGAATTTTGTTAGTCCAAAATAAATAAATGTATCCTCAGGGTCATGTTAAAATTTTGTTTCATGCTCTTGAACTAGAATTCCTTTAGAATATTAAAACTTTCCTGTTACTTAACCTAAAAAAGTTAAGTGGGTGTGGTTAAATTAATGTGATGTTTTTACACAAAAATCATTGTGTACAAATACTGTTCTCATTTAAGCACCACGAAGTATTTGATTGCCTTTTTTTTTTTTTTTTGGAGGAATCAGGCAAATTGGGTTCCCCAACACCACCACTATCTTTTTTTTCTCTATACATTAATGTTCCAGTGATTTCCAAAATAGGATTCCATGCTAAGTTGAGAGTTTCTAATGTTAGGAAGAATCTTGTTTTGCAGTGATTGAAAGTGACACTCCTCTGTTAGTACAACAGACATTTATTAAGCATCTTCCATAGACCATGTACTTGAGAATGAAACATTTTGGATAATTAAAGGCTTACAGATAAGATTACATCATTTATGATGTAGGTTACATAATTATGATAATTTATGATTTGGGGTTTTCCTTAAATTATACGTATGGCTGTGTATAACAAGTCTTTATACTACAAAGTAAGTGGATTTGAATTTTCATTAGTTATGAAGGATTTGGGTTTGGTTTGGTTTTAAGATACACATTGATTAAGGTTCCTAATTAGCAACATGTTAAGTGATTATGTTTCTGTGAGAGTGTATTATCTACTAGTTGTCAGAAGCTATGCTTCCTCTCTGAGTTTAACACAAGCTGATTTCAGGCAAAGCCACTCACCTCTCAGCCTCTATTTAAAATGGTTGGAGAAAATGGCATTTTAGGCAATTTATTTGCAAATTTTAGGACAACCCTAAATTTTCAGCATCCAGAAGGGGAAAAAAAAGTAAAAGGCTGATCAGCTTGAATTTTAATTCTTATTATAAGATCATTCCAACTTTTGTGGTATTGAAATATCCTTTTATGAAATGTTGATAGTATTAGTTGCTTTAAAGTATCCTTACTTGGCAAAATAAAAAGTTGACAGCTCTGTATTGGTCCCCACTTTTTTTTTTTTTTAAACTACATGAAATCTTGAAGCCTGGGAAACACTAACCCGTGATCCTATCTAAAGTTCTGGGACTTACTGTTTTATTAGGGTATTAAAACAATATAGTTTTATTCATTTTGATAGTTTATATATTTGAAAATTTTCACATATGATTACAATGTGTTGAGGTTTCATGCAAAGTAAATGTATAAGAAATCATTTTTTTTAAAGAATGAATTTTTTCCTAAGATTTTATTTTATTTATTTGACAGAGCACAAGCAGGCAGAATGGCAGGCAGAAGCAGGCTCCCCGCTAAGCAGGGAGTCTGACACTGGGGCTGGATCCCAGGACCCTGGGATCATGACCTGAGCCCAAGGCAGATGCTCAACTGACTGAGCCAGCCAGGCACCCCAAGAAATTATTATTATTTCCATTCAGATGTATCATCATGGAATGGGTCCAAACTAAGAATAATGGCTATCCTTCTTAATCCTTTATTTAAAGCATTAAAATATACAACACAGAAATTTAGGAAGGATCGTTAATTGGGTATATGCCTTTCTTGAGAAAAGTCTGTATTTTTGTGGACTTAAGTATTTCATAAACAAAAGAATGGTATAAGTTAACTAACGTTGCCAGGAATTACAACAAAGGGGAAAGACTTGGAATAAAATTTTAATCAATAAATTGGTGAATATAGTTAGGATTATAGATTAGGGGTATCGATATGGTATTACCCCTAAAATCTGAATAACAAAAAGGCAGTACAGCCCCAAACATGAAGAGTAGAATGCCAAGCTCAGAATGTCAGCCAGATATTGTGTAAATTAAATGTTTTTCAGCCACCCCTGTTACCTGTGAGGATGGACAATTTCTTGTCAATTTCTGTTAAGACCTGGTTTTCCTGAGTTCAAAAGTTGTTTTCATTAGAAAGTATAGAGTTGTATAGATTTCCAGCCTTATATTTAAAATAATTGTGAATATTGCCCACCTGCCTACATGCTCATTACTAGGGGATAAATTATTTCTTCTGCTGGTAATCCTGTCTACTAACATTTTCATTATTGGGTTAGGCAGTGAGTGGCTGATCTAACTCCATATTCAAGATAGACAAGAGAGATTATGTCTCTTAACAGCCCTGTCATCCATTACACTTAGCTAAATCTCTGTTATATTTCAAAATCTCCCAACCATGAAAGAGTTTCATTTATGTACTCCATCTGCACAGAAATCCTTTTTCTTTATCCAAAACTTTCTTGATACAGGCTTGCTTCATTCTAGACAAGAAGGCTGTGTATTCACTTTAGTACCATTATTTTATACTTTTAAAATTCCTCAGCCTTCATCTTACCAACTTGCAGTTGCCCTGTAGTCATCACATGACCCTTTCCCCGATCTCTTCATCTCTATGTCTCTTCAAATGGAGAGCATTTTGATCATCACTTAAGCAACCAGTTCTTTTTTAATACTATTTCTTCTAGGATCCGCTGGGAAGTTGCTTCTAGCACAGAAGCTAAAATACATTGGTTTTCCATTGCTGGTTACCACTTCCATTCTGACCCTGGATGCCGCCTAGTGTAGATTCTCTGATAATAAAAATATTAAACCATAAATTAAATTTCTCAAAACATTGCCATCCAGTGTATGCACTCAAGTACCTGTTCCTCTAGTACCTTTGTACCCCCAAGAGGCTGGTCACTTACAGCAGTTTGCAGTTTATGGCTTTGTTACTCCTTATGCTTTTGTCATCTTATTTGCCAAAGTCCTTGGTCATGCTACATGACTCACTTTTTTTTGAACCCCTGAGAAGGAAAAATTTTCAAATTCTAATCATTACAATATACCCAGTACCCAGAACAATTATAAGCACATAGCAGGTACTCAATACTTGTTTTAATTAGTAAGAGATTTGAATGTAATTTTAAAAGGATACAATGGTAATCCCCCAAAAGTCAATATTTCTGTCTTGTTCTACCCCCAAGTCCTGCTTATCTTTCCTTTTTTCAAATTTGCTCCTTTACATCAGTATATATACCTTTGGACATGCTTATTAGAAAAATTTACTAAGTACCTATCTTACCCTGACAAGATTAGCTATATAATTTAGTCTAATCAATACTTAAACATGCCTAAACTTCTAGTATAAAAACCAACAAATCCTACTACCCAAATCAGCTTGTTTTAGGACAGTATGCACATGATGCATTATAATTGGGGGAAAATTATGGTACTTAGAATATTTAAAATCTGTGGACATTGCTTTAGGAATGTGCCTTTTTTGGGAAAGCGTCTATGAAAAAGACTAAAAGTTTTGAAGTTTGTCAACCTGGAAGGCTTTCTAATTTCATTTATTACCTCTTTGGAGGCAGTGTGTGCCCTGACCCAACAATTATAGCCCTTTAAATCAGACATTAAAATCCCTGCTCTGCTACTCGAAGAAATAATTTTCTGTGGGCCTCTGTGATGGTTAGTTATGTATGTCTACTTGACCAAACCACAGACTGCCCAGATATTGGGTCAAATGTTATTCTAATTGTTTCCATGAGGGTGTTTTTAGATGAGATTAACATTTAAATTGATAGACTAAAGTAGATTGTCTTCCCTAATGTTGAGTGGGCCTCATCCAACCAGCTGAAGGCTTGAATAGAACAAAAAAGCTGACCCTCCCCAGAGGAAGAATTCTTCCTGCCTGACTGCCTTTGAACTGAAACATCTGCTCTTCCCCA